TAAAATACTCGAAAGTACAAAACTAAAAACGTTTGTTAACAAATATTTTGTCCAAAACCAGCAAATACCAACCCAAAGAGAAAAAATTGTACATAAAAAAATAAATTTGATCATTAGAAATATCTTGTTACTTGCTTAGAGTTAATTGAGGAACTTAGATAATAAAGGAAAGTAAAATTTTAGATTTCTTATATTTATGTTATAACTAATAAAATGTGTATTGTATAATATAATATATATTTCGGTACGGTATCGGTATAATTCGGTATTTTATTCTGAAATACCAAATACCATACCTAATACTACCAATTTTTTAAAAAATTTAAACCAAATTACCATACCAAAATTTTCGATTTCGTATAATTCTATATTTACCAAATTATGCACAACCCTACTTCAAATGGTTGACCGCAAAAACAACATTACGGAGTGATGTACCTTGCGCTCCTTGGCTCGTGCAACATTCTATAATTTATATACGTATATTTTTTGTACAGAAAATTATCGTGTACTTGGGAAATGGTCAATGAGCTGTTGTTTGATTCCCTGTCAAAGAATGTGTCCTTGTGCTGCAAATTCTATGGAATAATTGCATAGAAGTGTTACATCTAGATGGTAGTGTCTTGTTAGGGTCAAAACATATAAAAAGATAGCTAGTACCATGTGCATTCTGATGTTGTTCTATATTTGAAAAAGAGCGGTTCCAGTTGTTGGAAGGTTGGGGTTTTCTCATTTTTGTTTTATCATTTTTTTTAATATTTGGACTCACATTATGTAAACCTACTAAGAGGATATAAAATTGCTCCTTATTAACAAATTCTCTATATTTACAGTTCGAACTCGAATTTTCTGATTAAGTGTAATGAATCTCAATTATCCTTGATAGTGGAGAGCTTAGTATTACTTCATCGACTTCAGTTTATGTGACATTTTAATTTGGCACAAAGTTTACCAAAAAAAAAGAAAACTCGTGACTTGTGAGTTTAAATATGCAATAACATTTGTGTGGGTATAAAATATTTAAAATTTGTAATCTTAAATATACCCATAATGTTTACTATATATATATATATGACTATAAAAATTTCTACTAAACATAAAACAGTTAAAGCGGAACTTGTGGTCATTCTTTCGAAAGAGATTCAGATTTGATTCAACACTACAATACAATATTCTATTCCATGTCGTATAAATTAAAACGGGCCGAATGACTATATAACTATGTTGAGAGAGAGAGGGTTTGAGGGTGGGGATGGGGGGATTGCACGTAATAATTTATACATGGGATGCTTAGAAAGGCAGCAACAAAGAGCAATCATAATGTCGTCTTTCAGCAGCAGCTTGCTCTTTCCTCTGACTCTTGGCCACCATCATTGCTGCTGCCCTTTCTTTATCATTCACCAACCTCATTTGCACTTCAACCGCCTCTTATCTTCATCAATATCCAGTACTGAAGAAGATGATGGAGATGTTGAAGTTGGTGATGAACAAGAGTTTGTTAGTAATTGGAAAACCCTAAGTAAAGGAGATCAGATCTCATGAGTAAAGGAGAGTTTCCATCTTTCCGTCTCTCTCTTCTTTGCGGGGAATCAAGCATCATGGTCCGATTGATAACATATGTGTGTCTTTCTTTTACTCTATCAACTTCTACTAGTTTATTCCTTTTTCGTTTTCTTTCCACAATTTTCTCCTTTTTTTTTGGGCTTTGCAGTGTACCGTAAGCTTTTATTGTATATCAAGCAAAACATAATTCTTGAGGATCTCGATTGCTGTTTCGGTAAAGCTATTAATCAATGAAAAACCTTTTCTGACTTAAAATTTTAATGAAATTGTTGTATTTAAGACTCATGAACAGCTAATTAGATATCCGATCCATAGAAAAATCTTTTATATATAACCTGCTAACTTCTTAGGGTTCGTCCCTTCGGGATGACCCGGTTGGTTTGGAGGACGGTCATCCATACAGATGACTTGGGATCGATTCCCCTTCAATGCCTTCTGTGTCTGCCTGTCGCACAGGCTTGCTGGCCTAATGCGATTTACATCCCCTGTGTGGTTTGTTTGGTTTGTTGGGAGGTTTATTCAGTGCGCAGAGTGATCACAAGGCTAAGGCTGTAGCGGCTGTGGTTCCAAAAGCAAAAGAACTTATTAGGGTTTCAGTGTTACTCTTAATACGCCAAAATTAAAGCCCCGCATCTTTTTTTTTTCTCCCTTTACATTACGTTTCGATCTGCTTAATTGAGAGACTTGAGAAACTATGATATCTAGTAAAAGACGTGCACATGCATGTGCACAAACAGCACTGAAATCTGAAACTAGCTGCCATTCATTACATGCTTTCATGTCTTGCATGTAAACAAGAAAAAAGCTTAACATCTGCTACTGTTTCTACTTTATATGTGGCGTTAGCATAACTTTATGCTAACACTGTTAATTCACTGTTTATATTCTCTGATGTTTCTGAAAATTCATGACTTCTCCTTTTCATGGACAGGGAGTTAGAGAGAGAATACTTGTTTCTTTTGCTTGAATATTCAGTAGTATAACTATAATTTTGTCTTGTTATTCTTCTCTTTTGCTCTTTGTTTCTTTCTTTCCACAACTTAATAATTTAAATTTTAATTCGTCTAATAAGCTTCTCTTGTGTTCCTGTACCCTTTCCTCTTCTTTCCGTTATATCTTCACACACCTCAAAATATATGAGTATATTATTTCATCTGCCAGCTATATATACAATGGATCGATAAGTTTCCTTTGTTTTCTATGTACTTTTTTTACTGATTTCCCTTCTTCCCATAATTTAGTTCATCGGCAACCATCAAGATGAAAAAAAAAACTCTTTTCTATTCCCTTATAGAAAGCTGCATAGCACAGTGTTCTCATTTAATCGTATTTTTGTTACTCATTTGTGATAGAAATTTACAAACGAAAGTAGTTGAAACTTGTGTTCTTAAACATAATTATAATATATGTATAATTATAAGACATTTGAGACGTGCGTTCTTCAATGTGCCATAACATTTGTTCATTTATAAAAACTTTCTACTAACGGTATAATAAAAAGTTTAGAATTTAATTATTTTCAAATATATATCATTTTTTTCTTTTGAAGCAAATTAATAAAAATAGCGTCAGACAAAATGAAACAGATGGACTACACGTTATTTCGTAGCACAAGTAAATTGCCGTTAGAGGATTCAATATTGTTCAGTGTTATCACAATACCAACATCCCTTCACAAATTTCTAGATGAGGAAAGAAATACATTTCATCTCACAAGATAGGCTACTAGCTATCTAAACATAAGCAGAAAGTGAACTACGTACGATTGTAACTTAAAATGGTCACTAGCGAAGTCTATTTAAAATTGTCGAAAAGTAACAATTAACGTTTGTGAAGTTTTCAAGGAAAGATATGTTAGATGAACTAGAAATATTTAGGGAAAACGAAGTTTTGAACTCGTTGGTATGGCGTTACAAACACACCCACTATGGGTGCGTTAGCAATTATAAACCCCCCCCCCCCCCCC